TTCATGATTGTGGCCTGTGTAAACTTCCAAGGCAAGGAGGTTAGGGATTCTTCTGGGTGATTTGGTTGACGGCATGAAGAGAAGACATACAATGCAGCTCACGCTGTGATGCAGCCTTGCAGACCAAAACCAGGTTTGCAAAAGGCTGCGAAACCTCACGCACTCTGCACGGCTTTTGCTCCATGAGCTACTGAGTACCAGCTTGATATCAGAACCCTGAAAGAGAGCACATATTTTCCTTTTGGGTATAGAATTTACAGGAAGGACCTAGCCTTTGCAGGGTCAACCGCCCTAGAAACTATGTAATCAGAGTTGAACATGCCAAGCCATTCCCTCTGATGGCAACCCCTCATCCCAAGTACCGAGACTCTTACTCTGCGAAGTTGTGTTGATTGCAATGATGATGATGATGATGATGATGATGATGATTCCTGGTGCTTAGTAGGGAATAACAGAAAATAGTGTATAGGGTATACCCTTTTCCCTATTAAGAACCACCAGTAAGGATGCTGATGATGAGTGCGTTCCTTCTCTACACTTGCCGCGGCTCTTTTCTTTCGTCAGGGAGCTTCTCAAAAAGTATCCCACAGAATTTTCAATAGCGACCTCGAGGTCTGCTGGTCATCCCCATGACATCCCCGACCCCAAGAATACCCTGTCTTGAGAAATGGATCATAGGATATTGCATAACTTGAGTCTACCTTAGTACCATACTTCCCTAGCTATAAGGTACTATGCAGGACCGTTCGTATCAACCCTAAATCCCATGCTTCTTTGGAATCCCTACTATGACCCCCGTATAGATATGCCTGTAGCCCTTCTGATCCCTGTTGCTATGCGGATCCGCAGTACCATGTTTCCAGGCTTATCTACGGCAGCACTTCGCTCCCAACCGCATCGTGCTGTTTGGGCGTTCCATTGGGACAGGACGCGGCTTAGGGCTGCATTTTGGAGGAAGCTACGGCTTGAGTCCGGAGAGTTGAGGGCTGAGAAGTTAAAGATTTGTGGTTGCGGGCTTCTGGGGCTCAAGGTTTGGGGTTTAGGGCTCAGCACGGCTCACGTTTCAAAATGTGGAGTATAGAGCCTACCCGCAAGCCCAAACAATTCAATCGCTGGAATTATCGGACGGAACCGACTGAACTGTAGGAAAAATGATGCCTTGGAAGTAGGCGTGAAGCCTGGAGGATATGTGTTGTCCACAAGTGGTAATGAAGTTGGAACTTCCTGCAAGGTTGTGGGAGTCATGGTGGATTGAGGCTTGAGTTTCTCTACTGATGACAAACGAAGTGGGTGCTGGAATCCAGGGGGGCTTCGGGTTTGAGGTTATTGTTAATATACTGCACGACCCTAGGTAACTTCTTGGTGATCCTGGTAATACCACCTTGGCAACCTCCGAGTCCAAGTGCCAAACACATGGTAAAAGGATTCGTCTTGAGGATTTGTCTATTACGCTTGGTTTTTCATAGTGAAAGCAGTTCCGCTAACCTTTCTAGAGCTTTGGAACTGTAGTCCGGTCCTTCAGCCCATCGATGTGCAAGTTGTTCGACGTCCTGAAAGACCTTAGGCGGCACCTCTTTTCAGAGGGCTAGTGTCAGCCGGCGTTGCATGAACTTGCGGCTTCGCCACTAAGTGATTGTCTGAGTTCTTAAGCTTCTGGGTTAGTCTCAAAATGAGGGACCCTTTTGGATACAGATTATATTACGGCGCCTGACATTAAGATGAAGGGGTACCAAAATGGGATCCTAATTTTGGGAACCTGCTCTCTGCATTGTTCTGTGGTTGCGGTAGGGCTTTCCAGCGGTTTAGGGTTTGGGGGTCACGACGTACTGCGGGCTCTGTTTGAATACAGTGCACATTTGACGTACATAGGGTTCTAAAGAAACTCCCACCTATCCCCACACAGCACAGAATGACCTAACTAGAACAAGAGCGACCGCACCCAAACTGAAAGCTTGCGGGCATCTTCTCAAACGTCATAGGCCTGACATCCCGCTTCAAGAAATAGAATGCAAGATCCTGGTGGGCGGTGTCAAAAGGTTTTCATGGTGGGCCATTTGTGTACAGTTTTTCTCGGTTACTGACTCCGGGTGAGGAAGCAGGCATTCTGAACTGCATTATTAGAGTCCTGTTTGCGAAGTAAAGCTAGTGTACCACAATCGCACGGAGCCTGACAAAGGGGCCCTAGTTCTTGGAACCCGCCCCCCAACAAAGCCAAAACCGTATAACCCTATATGACATGCTACAACCATATATAACCCTACATACCCCTATATTCCTCTATAACCCTATATAATGCTCTCTAGCCATGGAGGACCAACCGTAGACCTGGCCGTACGGCATCCTGAGATCAGAGGCCACTCTGTAGGATCGCAGCAGCAGGGAGGCTTGAGGGCTTCCGTCGTCATCTCGAGATCCATGGCCTCGGAAACTGTCCCTAAACCCCCTAAACCCTAAACCCTTTTAGGGTTTAGGGTTTATTCTTGACTCTACAAGGATTTTGGGTAAGGGTGAAGCAGGAATTCCCTAGCCTCACGCCGGGGAGGGGGCGATCGTACCCGGCACCGCCTTTTTGAAGGCGTCATCCTACAGAGCCCGATTGAGAGCTGCGGTGGGGATCCTGTGCAAGATTCCAGGGTTCATGGTTTTGGGGTTTCCGATTATGAACTTGATAGAAACATGTGTGTCGACAAATTCACTATATGTACCGCTGAAATAAATTCAAGTATCCGCGCGAAGCTATACGCCATCTTTCCTACATAGTAAAGTGGTCCAAAGAACAAAAGATGTGGAGCTCTGGGAGTTGAGCGCTAGGCGGCAAGCTAGTGGTTTGCTCAGTACTGGTTCATGTAAGGATCAGATTTACAAGCCAGTGGGAAAAGAAGGAACTGGAGACTGGGCTTAAAAAGGTGTTTATAGGATAGTCTAAAGGGGGCTTACAGAATTCGAATGCGTGTCGGCATGTGTGTTATTACGATTATGTTTAGAAGGGGACGCTGCTTCGGCTTCGAAGTTGTTGGGTTTGTTGCGAGGAGGGTTATGGGGAACTAGGAAGAGGTAAGCAACCCCAGACATGGAATCCTATGCTTGGGCTAGCCATAGCAATAGTTTTAAAATCAATGTAGTTCAACACTCCCGCAAGTGTCCAACGAGCTCAGTTCAAGAAGGAGGGTTTTGAAGCCAAGGGCCTTCCCAAGCCTGGCAAAGCTGCATTTAGAATGGGATAGATTGGGAGGCTTCCCAATAAACGTCAGCAGGGTTCAAGGAACTGCCCAAACAAAAAACCTTTGAACACCTTGACGAAGGACATAATTCCTCCAAATTTCCATGCCAACCCTGTGCTTATAAACCAGACAACCCCCTGGCGTTCACTAGAGAAATGGGGAACGGATGCTGAAGATTAGTGGATGGGGGTATGCAAGGCTTACTTGAGGGATCCATTCCCTCATTCCCTACTAAGCTAACTGCAGTCCACAGTCCCCCAGTAGTGGAGAATCACACCTTGAAAAGAACATGGAACATGAAATGGAAACTGGGGTTATATGGGGGTTCAGGGGGTTTAGGGTTGTGTTTAGGGCCTGCGTGAAGAGATGAGGTCGCGCTGTGTTCGGAAATTTGGCTTCATGGGTTGGCTACAGGCAAGATGACTCTGTCCCTTGCGTGCCCTTGAGTACTTGAGTTCCGGGTTAAGCTGTACCACAGATCTTTGCTTTAAAGGTCCCCCGAAACAGAACCCATACTTTTTGCGAGCCATTCCATCTCAGCATTGATGTAGACAAGAAAGATCAAAGAATGGTCATTGCAATATGTCTTGTGATGAGGAAAATTTCTACTTGCTAGGTGCTTGGCTGTGGAATCTTTAAATATTCAGGTCAGACAGGGGCCAGCGCTGGGGATACCAGCACAAGTTGTCGCTGCATTCGCGTTTGCTGACATAGGGTGGGTTTCGGGTTCCAAGGCTTCGGGTGTAGGGCGTGGGGTTGAGGGTGTAGGTGTTAGAGCTTAGGGTTCAGTGCCTAGGGTTTTGCGAGATAGCAAGGATTTGACCATGTCTGGGGTTCTGCTCGGGAGTTTGACTTGTGCCAGTGGGGTCATATGGGCGGGATAATGTGGAGACTGCAAATTGGGTTGTTTTCTCTACGCGCATTGCAGATGTTATTAGATTTCGGTCTTTCCTCATACCGGTCCACCTCCTATACCACAGGCAAGAAACTCCAGAAGGGCACTATGCATGTTCGCGAGATCACGTTCATAACCAGACAGGGCAGAAGCAAACATCAAGGCATGCAGTGATCTCATTGCAGAGTTGAGGTAGCAGGGGGCTTCGGGCAAGTGAGAATCTTGGAGTTTGCGAGCAAAGGGTCACGGCATGTGTGTATTTCAGGCTTTGATGTGCCGGTTTTGAAAGGTTTGTGAGGGCTTTCTAATCAATCTAATCTAAACCTGCACCAGAGGGCCAGAGGGCCCTAAAACAAGGAAGCGGTTCGGCTTGCAGAGCAGAACAATGTAGCACTCCAATCTCGCGCATCGCTCGTTAATTAGACTGTTGGTCCTCAAGTAGGGCTCCCTGGAAAGCGTAATCTGCCCTATGTTAGCGCAGGATGGATTTGTTCCGGAATTACGAGAAGGTGGACAAGGCGTGACATTTTCTCGGATCTCAGAGTGTTCCCTGGAGTAGTTTACAACAGACTCAGCAAGCAGAACTTTCATCATGGGTGGGGAATGGGACTTGTTGCAGAGATCTAGTTTTTGCCGGGAAGGATATCAGATAGAAAAAGCGCAGCTCAAGCCCGCGGCCCTCCCCTCCAGTCTTTGATGATCATGCCGCCCAGAAGCCAGCTGCAGCAGCAAAACCTTCAACCCTAAACCTTACACCTGTAGCAGCGGAAGTGGCAGTATCAAGAAGACGCTACTCGTACGCATGGTAATCAGCAGTTAGTGTGCCTAATCGCAAAGACAGCAATGATGCAATAGTAGCCGCTGCCGCAGCAGTCAGCGTCGTCATGGTCGTGAATGCGGCGGCTGTTGGTGATAGTTGTGGTTGTGCAGCAGTACCCGGAAACACTGTTGACGTTGCAGCAAAGCGGACATCCGTCGGCAAAAGCGTGGCTCGCAGGCAAACTCCCGCCCACATCATCACTCAAACGGCGGGTCTACAATGTTTCCCCTCTACATAGGCATGGATGGAGACTTATTGGTGCGCTCGTACGGGCTGCCCTCGCCTTGATTGTTTCTGATAATTAGTAGTTTGACGCGATTCCTTTGGGCCTCGTCCAGGACCTACACGTGAAGACCTCGGGCCTTGCAAGGAAAACGCATAGCTTCTAATTTGCTTGGTGCCTGGCAGGTGGAGTGCCCGGTCCTCGTTATGCATGGAACCGACGATGACATCGTCCCGATTGAAAGTGGCATGGCAATCCAGGAGGCTTCGCTGGGGGGCACAGATCCAGCCACAAACCTTGGCCTTGAACCCGCAAAGCTAGATAAGGATGGCGCAGAAGAAATTAGCTTTGATGATTTTTCGAGATCGAGGATTTCAGGTCCAGAATTTCGAGGTTTGACGGTTTAGACTGGAGATTAAGGATGACGGAACAAGAGGTGTTCATGAAAGAGACAGACCCTACCATGCCTCTCATCAGCTTTGGAAACTAAATGTTGGCATGGCTCTGGGATTTGAGTGGTAGCTGCTGTTGTTGCTGATTTTTGCTGTTGCTGTTGCAGTGCACTGAGCCCAGTACTATGCGCACGGGGCCACTTTTATTGTTTCTGGTAGCAGAAGTAGGTATGTTGGCCGTACGGAACGGGACAGTACGGTCTCAACCGTCACCATGAGGACTGTTGCGGTGGATGGAGGAAATCTTGCACTGCTTAGTATCCTTCAAGTAATTACTGTAATTCGGGGCTCAAGGAGGTGCAACATCTCCTCCCTTCACAGTAGCACTGCAGCAGCAGCTGAAGCCAACCAGTGAACCAGCTGCCCTCTGAAATGTGGGGTGCGTGTTGCGGACGAGAGCATTCCGATGTATATAGTATATTAAAGAGACCTCAAGTTTTTAAAAAACAAGTCCATGTGGGACAGGGGAAGATGAGTGCCAGTTTTCGACTGCTAGCCCCCTTTTGCTCCTCCGCCTGATTTCTTCGATCATTCTATCCCTAAACGGTCTATAAGAAAATGTCTACATATTCAGTGATAATCCCTGTAAGCCCCTGTAACGGCTCTTGCCAAATTGACCCCCCCCCCCCGCAGTTGCACGCTCCTTAAACCTAAACCCTCCCCAGCCTCCCAAGCAGTCCTCGCAGAAGTGAAAACCTCTCAGTTCAATCTTGATTCGTCAACCCAAGTGGGGGCTGACCATTTATATGTATATATATATATATGTACATACATGTATAAATTTTGGGGGTAGGTAGTTATATTATGGATGCATGAAGGGCATGGGCCCATGGGGTATTGCCCCAACAATGGAAAGCAAACGGACAAGATCACATGGACAATGAAGTGGAAACTGTGATTCTATGAGGCGTTCCATGAATAAGGGGACCCAAGATAGACCCCAACATGGTGTATTCCTTATGACAGGAACTCTTAACATGCGGGCCCCTTATTTTGGAAGGCCGAGTCTAGATGGGGACGCTACAGCCTCACGCGTTAAACCAAGCGAGAGTTTGCCAAAACAAATCCTACAATCCCCCTACAATCCGTGTATATATATATATTTACACATCTCTTTCTCTCTCTCTCTCTCTCTATCTCTCTTTCTAGGTCTCCAGTAGCACCCGCATGTTGAGAACCTCCCAAGCCTGGTGCATGGTGGTTTTGGCAGGCCTGCAGAAAAGCTGTTGAGCCGCTTTGGCTGGAGGGTTATGGCGCTGTCCCCGGGAAGGAACTTTCAAGAAAAGTGCGCGCGGTTCATGCAGCAGCTAGAGCAGCAGAGATGAGATCAGCCAAGAGCTCTAGGAGTTGACAAGAAGAACGGGGCAGGATCTAAAGCAGGAGGGATAATCGACTTGCATCATCTTTGTACATCCCTAGGGTCCGATCCTTAAGTGCCTACCGGCTTACCTTTTTGAGAAAGACAGTAAAATCTTCACTCGGGGCATCGCTAGCCATGGGCTACAGTCACAACAGCTCTGCTTCAACGAACTTCTCTGCTTTTGTGGGAGGTTTTTCTGTGGGCCAGGGGTGGGCGGATGAGAACAGTTATATCATTTTTGCTTTTTAGTCGCTGGACTAGGGCGAATGTCCAGCTCCAGCTTCTTTCGGTTGTTGTTGCCTGCGGGTTTTCAGGTTTCAAGGTTTCACGCAGATTTCACTTTTGATTTTTCTTCGTCCTTTCAAAGCACTGAAAATCATGCCTTGCTATGAGAACGTAGCAGCAATCTTGACATACTAAGGCTAAGGGCTCTAGAGTGAGGGAGGAGTATGACTCACATGCGAGGTTCCTTCTCTACTAGACCCAAGAACTGGAACCGGCTCTTTTGCAGATGCGTCCTTGGCATTCACCTACAAGCCACACAACATAGCCTTTGGAAGTATCCAGCCATTCAGGACAATTCCCTCAAACCCCAGGTCAGTCTTTGAGAATCTTTAAATAGAAGGAACATGCAAGGTAGGAATTTCAAAGCTTGTCAAGTTTTGCAGATAGTTAGTCTCCATTGAGTCCCTGACACCCAAAGCCTCGGGAGCCTGCCCTCCCCAAGACTAACACGGAGCCCCATGCAGCTCCCTGTTAGAAGAACACTCGTTTTTTTTTAAGGCTGCATGTGGGGGTTTCATGCTAGATGGGGGGAGCTGGAAAGCCTGCAGGGCTAGAAGCAATTTCAGGCCACAACGACCTGCCGAACGAGATCTGTCTCAGGCCACCACACTGGGGAAGCGGTTCAAGGTCAGGGGAATTTTGGGGGTTCACCGCTTTTTGGTGTGTAATTTAGGGTGGAGTGATTCAGGGATGTAGGGGTTCAGGGGTTCGGTTTATGGTTCAGCGTTCCATGCTGCCAGGCCCTTGTAAAGGGTTGATCCCTGATTTGAAGGGGAAATGGACTTGTGACCAAATTATCCCTCCAACAATTGACATGGCGGCTTTCTTTCAAACTTACTCGGTCACTGCAGGAACCTACCGGGCAGGGGTAGGCTGCCTGATCTTTACTTACCCTACCAGCCTGGTCCTGCTACTAAGCTCTGAACCCTACACCCCAAAGAAATTTCAAAACCTTACACTGAAACTACGATTGCCAGGCGGGTGCGAGAATTCATGGACCAGATGGATGGCCTCTCATGGGGTGTCTCCCTCAACTGACTAGGGATGCTTGGGGTTAGTAGGGCGTCGGGTAGACGGGCATTAGGCTTGTCATAATTGGGTACAAGCCCCAGGCGTTTTGCAATCCTCTCAGCTGAAAGAATTTGCGAACTTGCCTCCCGGTGCAGATATCATTTCCTGAGCCTCGAGACCTTAGGGTTTGAGTGTTACCGCATCAGTTCCTCCGCCTGGGGCTGCAAGATGTCCGTAGGGCTTGTGCCAAAAGACGAAGAGGGTATTGAAAAGTTTCAGAGGGTTTTTCTGCAAGCGTGCAGCAAGTAGTTCCGTGTAAGAGTCATCACCTATGTCTGATTTCGAATGGTATTGGGGGGGGGGGAATTATTCGGAGAGTGAAGTAGAAAGCCAACAAGGATCAGACAGGACACAATGATGACGGTAGCCAATTGCTCAATAACGACAACGCTGGGAAGGGATACATAGTAGTTTCCATTTTCTTTTCCATTATCCCTATATAACCCCAATATACTATAGTAGTTTCCATTTTCTTTTCCTTTATCCCTATATACCCCCAATATACTATAGTAGTTTCCATTTTCTTTTCCATTATCTCTATATGACCCCAATATAATGACAGCTTTGGGCTTGAGGTCGGTATGATTGGGCCATTGAAGTTGAGGGGTTCATAAATGGCTTATGGGTTCTGTTGAGGTGTAGGGTTTAGGGATTAATGTTCATATGACAATAAAAAAACACCCACCCACCCCTCTCCTCCAGAACTTGTTTTGCGTTTTTGGTTTACGGAAGGGTGGATCGCAATCATAAACCAAGGCGTTGGGGTAGGACCAGGTAGTGCAGCTCGTATTACTAGTAGGACAAGTAGGACGGAATCTGTTAAGATTGGTACGTTTCCGGCCATACAATAATTTTTTATTGCCACCCTCTTATTATTGCCGATGGACCTTGTTTAGACATTTTCGGGCTGCGAACTTGTTAGCAAGTTTGATTGTCCAGGATTTTCTGGCTCGGCAACAAGATATTATTGCCACCCCGTTTATTAATGCTCCGGAAACATTAGGGATATAGGTTAGGAGGAGCCCCCACCCTTTAATAATGTGTAATAGGAATATAAGAGGATCCTAATATAGTTACCATTATCCCTTATAGTCACTATTGCAGGGTTGGGGGTCCGCCTAAGACATAGGGCGACCCAGAGCTTGAACAAGGTAAATCTGCAAGCCTTGGCTGTATTGGCTTGAGGGTTTAGGAGTTAACGTTTAGGGTCTAGGGGCGTCTGACAGCCGCGGTCTGATAGTGAAAGTAGATGTGCCTGAGGGCTATACAAATAGCCTTCCTTGTTGGTTTAAAGGGTATCTCGCTATTTCCAAAGATTTCTTCTCAGAAATATGGCAGCTGTCATTTTCTTTCCATCCCCCTTAATTATTCTTGTATATCCTTTAGTCCCCGGATACCTAGCATCCTAAGCCCTAAGCCCTTTAGGCCTGTTTTATAGTTATTTTGTTTAGGAGGATTGTCAGCTTTTTGGGGTATGCCATCCTTGAACTTTTGTGGGGCCCTTCCGCCAAGCGCAGCTAGGACTTTAGGACTTGAAGCGGAGTCCCGGGCTTCTGCACACATATTATGACGGACGATTTCTATACCACAGACCCTAGGCCCTGTAGAGCCCTGAGACCCTGTAAGACCCCTTGAGAACTCTTACAGAGCCGCCTTAGACCAGGGATCCCGATGGAAGGCCAAGAGCACCCAGCATGTGAGGTTGGAACATTTTCGTCACCAACCTTGCCACACACATCTCGGTGAATCTTTGAATCAGACGGTTGCAAATGCCTTGGTCCTAGGTCTGAAACTAGTTGGTCCCATAAACTGCCTGTCTCTAAATGCTGCAAGCTGATCTTGAGTCGCTTAATGCTCTTCGGAATGGCAACAAGAAACATTGTGGCAGCCGGCACGTTCCAAATGGGAAACTACGAGAACGATACATGACACGAGAAAATCAGCATTCGCAATGGCAGTACTTGAATCTCCAGGATCCTAAGCTGTTGCGGCATACAGTCAACTTACTGGCTCGTGTGTACATACAAGATGAAAACACGGGTGGTTGTAAGTACCCCCCATGCAGTCTAGGCTGTACCAAAGCAATCCTACTTGAAATCCCGCCACATGTACGTGACTGTCACCCTCCGACCAGGTAACGATCGTAGCTATACTGCCAGGATTTGTTTGCGACCGGCATGCCATGAGAGGTATTTTTGTAATACTGTGCCAGAGACTCCTTGGCTGCATTCTTGTGCGGCACTGTACCTAGGCGACTTGGAGTTTCAGAACCCACGTTGTATTTTGGTACTGCGAGTGCACAAACATGTTCCTTCACGTTCTACCTATGGCTGTCCTAATGTCCTACTAATATACAGCCCCTCACGCAGTTTGTACCAAGCCAATGATGCCCTGGGCGATGCAACTGTCTGGTGGCAAATGCACATGGACGAGAAGTCCCACAGCTTCCGGAAGCAAAAAGAAAGCGGTGCTTGGACAGCAGGTTCTTGGTTGTTGTACCGCACTGATGCTGTAGGGTTGCGCAGAGGCATGAAGGTTGCCGTTGATATTGTGACCTTCTTGATCTGACATCCAAAGTTTTGGTGAGTGGCGCAATTTCTGCCAATTGGATCGGCTCTTGGAGCCTTTAGCCTTCACTTCCCGGGTCACTTCCCGGGACGCTCAGACCATTGTGGTTTCAGGTGTCGGGCTCCAAATGGAGGGTAGTTTTGGAGGCATGTTGCGTCTGCTATCGCAACAGGCTCTGGCATTCCACCGTGGCTTAGGCGCATACGGGGGGCTGGGGATGCAAGGACTGGAGATCTTGCAGACGGAAGCAGTTTCACAATCAATTAGGTCGCTCTGAGAGCGGCGAGAACATTGGAGCAGTGAACAGCGCCTCTTGCATTGATGGGAAGGCGAAAATGGGGGCCTGTTTCCTATTGCTTGAAAGTAGGGAATGCAGGAACAGAAAGCAAATTGAAACTCAAAGTGGTTGTATTCGGACTAGTAAAGGGATCCGTTCCTTTATTCCCTACCCCAGGAAGTCTTTGGAATTTGGCATAAGGAGCGTCGCCTTGGATAGGGAACCCTAAGTCCTAAAATCTGGACCCAGGACAACGTGCTGAGGACACGCGAAGGCGGCCGGATTACTTCAGGATAGTGTGATGGCACTCGGATTGCTCACACCCTAAATTCACACAGGATGAGGTGGAACAGAAGAATCCCAACAGCCAAACAGATTCATAGAACGTGTAGAAACTTCACGGAATCCTTGTAAGACCTCATGGCATCCTATCCTCCCATCTTGCAGTCCATATTGCGCCCTCGTTGATCCTGAACATCTTCAACCCACTCACGTGTGACCATGGGCTTAGGCTCAGCCTGATAGCGCTCTTCAGAGCGGCTATGGTCAATGTTTTTGTTCCTCCCCTACCCGGCCTCTTGACGTTAGCTTGATTTAGCTTAGACACGGGCAAGCAAGACTTTTGGCAGGGCTCCTAGTACCCGTATATATATATGCATATATATATATATATAGTGATATGTCACGCTTGGACCGCTGCCGAGATGCACTGGAACCTCCCTAGCACAACAAACAGACCCCGCAACTTGTGCCTGTAACGTCACAAAAAATTCTCTCATGAGCCATCGCCTAGGCCCCGAAACGCTATATCCGCAAACCTCCAAGCATGTCAAAGCCTACAGCCTACAAACGCTCGCCTGCAGCCGCTTACTTTACCAAATCTTTTCCGCCTTCGTCCGGGAGGAGTCGTGGCGGGGCGGCAATCTTTTGAATTTTTGTGGGGCACAACATTCCTATTTGCATGTCTGGGTCCAACATGCCTCAAGCCCTGCACCTTTAATTCACAAAGGGCTCAGAGGGGTAGTTTTGTTGCGGGGAGTAGCAAAGGCGAGGCGATACATTTGTTATGGCTTGAGGTCTTGACGGGGCACTGCATCTGCTAGGTAAACAAGATGCCAGACTGGGAGTAGTAGTATGTGCACACACTGACCATATTTCTAGTCTGTAACCTACGCCATCAGGTCGCAAGTGGGAGTTTCTCAAAACGGCGCCTGTAGACAACTAAATATCTTTTGCCATCCCCAAGATCCCTTTCTGGGAAACCGCGCAATTGCTTCCAAATTCCAAAGAGGGCCGAAGGGAGCTGAAGGCAGGGTCATTCAGAGTTTGTTCCCAAGCATGCTGCATATAAATCACTAACAAAACGCTGTGGCGGTGCCTACACAGCTATTACCCCACCACAAGTTGATCTCAAAACCGCGATTCTAGTTGTTTCGACGAAGCCTTCCGGCTTTTCCTGGAAAGGGCCAATAGCAGCTGAAACTTGCTGAGCCATATACAATTATGCCGCCAAGTACGCTTTTGTGTGGTAGAGCCCAAGGAGCCCCCAATTCCCCAAACCCTGTACCCCCCATATAGTTCCTCTATTATAGTCCCGCTAACCCATTCCACCGTTTCACTCGGCATTCCAGGGAGTCAAGTTGAAGGCCCATCCCAATCCATCTAAACTCGCAAACTCTAAAGCCCTGGGGCCGCAAGCCCAAACGACTGCAACACGATTTAGGTTATTGACAGACAGAAGCCCTTTGAATAGCTTTCAGCACCCCGTCTGCCTAGCTTAGACTGATTGCTGCTGAGGTGGTCAAACAAGTCCTTTGATGCAAAAGAAGTACGCAGCTATCCCGGCAGACGTTGCAAGCTGGGCTGCTGTTTGCCTGGAAGGTATTTACATCCGGCTTTCCTTTTTGAATGTTAGCTTTTTCGGGAGGGTCAAGCAGGTTTAGTCAGTTTCGAGATGTCCCCGAACATGTCCTTCCGGCTTACGTTTTGGGGGCTTCATGCAGAGCGTCCTCTCTGGATAGATGTCAGACTACCGGTCCGAATATGAGAGTCCTTGACAAATGTCAGAGAAACCCTGTGCCTGAGCAACGGGCAAAACTCGTCATCGTGGGCCAAAGATTTCTGTCGGCCTTATTGAACTCTTGAGCGCTTACGCCGGCATGATTGCGTTCCCGCATCTCGCGTCCCAGATTCATGGACCTCATCTCACGTCCAATCCAGCTACTTACGAATGATGGTTTCAGTTTCGCCTGTCAAGCCTGCCATTTGCTGCGTCTATGTTGCTTATTCACGCCATTTTGTTGTGGCTGGCATGTTCATGCTTAGTGTGAGGCCAGTTTTACAGGGAATTGAGGTGGAGGGATACGCCAGAAATGAGCAAGAAGAAGCGTTGAAGCAGCAAAGGGCCCCTCTGACCTGGAAGTCCCCTCCCTCCAGTTTTTTGGATATGGGTGTGTGAACCCAAACTAAGCTAACTAATTAAGATCCTTTAAACTTAGATTTGAGACCATGATATAGAGACCTCACGAGCCACTCACATCTTGAGCCTTTTACCCCATCTGTAGCTCTAATCGCCCCTCTACAGCCTCAAAACAAGAGGACCTCCAAACAGGAGCCAGGCACGGGGAAAGCCTTACCCGTGGTCCCGACAGCTGGGATTCCCTATCGGAGGGCTCTCACCTGGAAGATCTCTGGATTTAACAGGTTAGTAAAGTCTACGAGTCTACGCATTAGAAGGAGTTATAGGGCTTATCATTCTTATACTTGGGGCTATGGGGGACAGTACCTCCAAGCACATGTAGTGCAATTTCTACTGGTCGTGTAACGGCCCCCCAAGATGACCCCTGACTTTTGGAACAGCAAACCTGATACAGACGTATTCCCATACATGTGACCCCTGCATGTTCCTCATAAACACCGGTCGAACCGCCTTGCAAAGGATTCCTGGTAATTGGAAGCCCTGCATTAACCCTACAGCCGTGTTGGCTCAGGTCCCACCACACCAGCGCAACGGCACGGCAGGAGCCGAGCCGACTCAGGGTGAGCGAAAGAATGCCGGGAACCTAGTTTGAAGTGGGTCGAAGTTGTCACGACCGTAGTGTTTAGGGTTTAAGGTTAGGCTTATGTCACCAGAATGTAGAAACAAGTTACCACCATCCATATGCGCATATGTGAACATATGGGCAGGATTGAAGATTCCTTGGAAACTTTTTCGTGAAAATCTTCGGTCTTCAATCTTGAACCCAGACCCTCGATTGGATCCTGTAGGCTGCTGTCAGATCTAATCCGGGTATGGGTTAAAGGTCTAATTTAGCAAGGAAACATGTTCTTGAAACTTGAAAGGCTTTCAAATCAACCATCAGCATATGAACTCTGACAATGAGCCTTCGAAATGCACCCTGACAATGGACCCCCAACATGAGTAGTTGTTTTGCGCTGGCCATGACTTTAGGTGCACAGGTGTGTTTCTGGGAGGGGTGCCAAATATGTCATTTAGAAAAATATTATATGATATATATGTATATATGTATATGCATACCAATATTTTCATCTATATCATATCTGTAATGTCTGTTACATCAAACATTCAAAATATATTATAACACGTAATATCATATTAGAATTTATGATGCAGCCATAACGCGTACATTTTAACCTCCATCTTTGTTTGCCGTGCTGCGCCAACGCCTTGCAGTTTGCAGTCAGCGACTTGATAGTCCATGCAAGGTAGGGCTGAGAAAAAGTATCATATTAGAAAGTATATACTCTGTTGGCACAAAAAAAAGTTTCCTTGCTGGTGCCTGGCTTTGCAGGAGCCTGTGGAGGTCTAAGCCCTAAACTTGCTGGTGGTGAGTACGGTGGAATGGTTCCCTGGACTAATCCGTAGGGAGCTCAAGTTCATGTAACCAATCCCTTCATTTCCTACGGTTTTTTGGGAAGCCACCACAGTGTGCACTGCTTAGGAGGCCGATTCTGGGCGATCAGAATGGCTCGGCCCTAAGTTCGCGCTTAGGCGTTCTATGTAGAGGTTACCCAAGGATGTTTTAGGGATATGGAGGCTTCAGGATTTGGGGGTTGGGGATTAGAGTTTGGGGCTTTAAGCTTACTTTCAGAGGGGGTTCAGGATCTGAGTTTTCGGATTTAGGGCTGGGAGTCTACGAAGTTTCTGTGAAGTGCTGGCAAGGCTTGGAGCCTTGTAGGTCTCGGAGGGATGTTCAGGGTTGGGCTGAGTTAGGATTTGAGGTCCGATCTGGCTGTGGGTTACAAACAATGTGCCCCCGGCATCTAATAGTGTTGATACTGTAAATAGTAGAACAAAACACATAACAGAATTAATCCCACGCTGTTTCATCGCGTTTCGCCATGACTTACAGTCTACAGGACTCAAAAACACTCTGGTCATTCAGCCCTGAGATCTTATTCGTTGTTTCAAATCCAGAGGAAGCAGGCAAAGCTAGAGACTACAGCAGCTTGAAGCCGGAGAGTTTGAACATCAGTTCCCCTTTCCTAAGACTTAGCACAAGGTGTTGGTTCCATCTTCTATCGTGTTGGTACTTACTGCAAGTGCAAGCCATCGCAGCTGGAAACGATGATTGTGCCAGCCAGGCGTGGAAAGGGAGGCGGAGGCGGGATGCGTTCTACAGCTGCAGGATGCAGGAGGTTCCTGAACCCAAATTCTACATGCCTAACTCCCTGGTTCAGGCTATCCCGGAAGGAACGGCCGGGACGGCGGTGGTACAGTCCTTAGGACCAGGGTTTAGGGCTTAGCATATGGGGGGAAGAGGGGATCAAGTAGCTGCAATACAGGATACCATAAAGATTGTGGTGATCTTCGAGGCTGAGAGACTTGATGCATGTCGGGTTATTTAGAGTCCAGGATTTAGGCTTGGAGGGCTTTCAGGTACTAAGGGTTGGGAGTTCGTGTTTGGGCTTGTGCAGTGATTTATCGTCATTTGTTTATGGGCTTGTGCTAGACAGGCTGAACAAATTCCAGTCAGAAGCCTTCACGACTTGCGATCCTTAACTATGAGCCTTCTCTCCGCTCGTGGTTGCTACAAGGTTTCCGATATTCGGAGCTCTGCAGTTCTGAAACCCTGAAAGCCCCAGCGCTGAGCCCCGAAACGCTGAACTCCTATGTGCAAACCCGTAACCTTCATGGCTGAACCCTAAGCAGGAAACCGGTAAACCTACACGCCAAACTTTGAACCCTCGACTGCAGCCCAGAGCTTCCTCCTGAGGCTTCGACCGCGATGGCGGAAAGGGTGCGGGGAAGTCGACCCAGCTACGTTCACGGATGTACGTTCACAAGTCTTGAGAAACAGCTCTAGGGGTTGGGAATGTACGGTTTAAGAGTCAGGAGGCATCATTCGGTTTGTAGATGTATAGACTAAGGGCTTTGGATTTTGTCAAGAGATTTTTCTGTGGAAGTCCAGGTTGTGATAACTAGGAAAAGGATGAGATGTCATAATCATGTCGGCCGCTTGTACTCGTAGAAATACGACTTCAGAAATGCTGCAGTTCTCGTCTCTTAATTTTGGGAACGTTTGGTACGTGGTATTTGCCAGAAGTAGGGGGACGCCTTTATAGACCCTGAATATAATGGAGACCCGCCAAAAATATTTTTGGACCCCGCCCCCATGTATCATATTCAGATAGAGCCTTGGGAGTTTTCGGCCTGAGAGTGTATGGTTAAATGCTCAACATGGAAGCAACAATTACGAATATTATCATGGGCCTAGATGATGACCCCAATAAGGAGAATCAAGTGGAAAAGTAAATGGATGATTAAGTGGAACTTGATTGACACTTCGGGCTTTGAATGGTCAGGCTTAAGGGGGGAATCAGCTGCTGCAAAGCCTTGTCTGGGCAAAGCTGGGTCTAGAAGTCGGTTCCATGATAGGCCTCCTGAAGGATTACAAAGACTGCATAGACACGACGATCCTCCAGAGAGTGTCCCATGGCCTTTCACCCTTAATCGCGCGAACTATGTTTATGTGCTTCCGGGGCCGCTATTGCCAAGGGGCGTGGGAAACAAGGTCATGTTATAGGGTTAACCCTTACCAAAACATCAGCCCACATGCTCACCAGATTCATTATGCTCCTGCGGGGTCTTAGGGGCATGCTGACACATGGGCTTGGTGTGGAGATCTTGTAAATGGTGCCGTGGAACAAAGCTGTCGGGCATTGTATCAGGAGTTGGTTTCCTAGAACAGGCGGATTTTGGTGACCCACCCGCAAGACCTCATCAGAGTCATTTCAAGCAAGAGTCACAGGGTCCTTGTCTTGCGTGTAGGGCTAACCCACATCCACTTACTGTTCTTGCTGGCTGGGAGATTCTGCAAGACAGCTGGCATTGACCAAAGCAGCACAAGCACTGATCATAGCGGAACAGCATTTGCAACTATAACTGCTTGACCGCAGACCAAAACAGTTGAACACAGGGGCCTACAGACAATAACACATGCTAAGCAGGACTAAGGAGACCTTCAGTAACAACAGCTGGCCTGCTGCCAGGTCCGAATATGGCGACCGCGCCGGTGATTCGAAGAAAAGCCGGAGTCCCAAGAAAGCAGTCTCTCGGGGTTTAGGCAAGTGTATTTAACAATGGGTGAAAAGATGTGGAAAGGGTTTGTACATGATTATAGAGATGCTGTACAGGTTCAAAGGAACGGCGAGAATTGTACAGAGGTTTTATATGGGCTGTAAACCAAGATGTTGGATTGTACAGGGCTGGTGTCGGTTGATAATGGGTCACGTTTTGGCTGTCTCTAAAATCACAGCTTTTTTTGTGTCTGCTGGGTAAACGTAGTAGGTCCAGACGATCTAGAACCACAGCGGAGCCATAGGCATCGCACAGTGATGACATGAAGAAGCTTAGAGGGCTTATTCAGTCTCGCAGCTCCTCCAAGCCCCTAGGAACCAATCCACTTCCGCAAAAAAGACCATCAACAACTCCCTCAAACACACACCCCAACCCTGCAACAGACGGATAAAGACCCTTCAAGCTCAATGCCCGGAAAGGACCTCCTAAACTCTGAAGCTGTTATCCTGAGGCACAGTCTTCTCTATGCAGGGCGCAGGCGGCGACTGGTCGCTAGCCCCAACATGCATGAAGAGTATGGGTGTTAGGATTCAGGGGGGTTAGTGTCGGGCTTACAGCGGTTTAAGGGTCCTGCAGAACTCTTCCTGGGTCCTGAGCAGCGGTAGCAATTGAGCTTGAAGGCCTTGATTGCTACTTGTGGTAGGCATGTCATGATACGTGTTTTGCAGTTCTTTTCCTGGGGTACCGCTATGGCTGGTGGGCAATGCTTCCGATAACAAGGTTTGGAGTGTAGAAGTGAGGAACATGTGCCTCCAACCGCCGAAGCACACCTTCATCCAACTCCTTCAAATCAATCCCCGAAATCCTAGAAAACTGTACCGTAAAATATTCACATTGCATGCCAAAAGCCCTATAACCCCTAAGCCTGAAACCCTGAGTAGATCAAAGTCCCAAGCGCCTCCCTTCCTCCCCTCCCTTCCTCCCCTGCTTCCCTCCCTCCTACGCAGTACTCCGGGAACTGAGGTCGCAACGCTTCGGCAACAAACGCAACGAACAGCAGACCGAGCTGGAGGCGCGGGCTTTGCAGGCAGCTGCTGTATTCTGGGTAAAGCTGAGGATGAGAGGTTAGATTGTCAAGATTAGGGTTTGGTGACCGGTCTAAGACGTTGGGGGCCAGGAGCATCTGTCCCTAATTCGCCGATATCCTCCAGAATTTTCCAGAAGAGTTATCCTGAAATCGCAGCAAGCACTTTGCGCGCTGTTGGGCCTTGCAGTTTATCGCTTCAGCCAGGCTAGATTTCCTGTGAGAACATGGCTATCACCCGCAGGTATCAAAATCAAAAGGTTCTCATGTGCATCACCTGCATAATGGCATCCCTACTCTGCAGCGTGGCACAGCAACTCCTTCGTCATCATCCGGTTAAAAGCGCGAGACCCTACTCGTTCGTTTTCTTGCTAGATGTCATTAGATATGAAAGTCAGCAAGAGCAGTGCATTGCTATCCCTCTATATCCATTGATGAGTTCCGAGCTTTTGTATGCTGACAAACTTTGATGATCATGCGCATCATGTATTTTTGATTGATTCGAATGGTGTCATCTGAGTTGTTCGTTGAGGTCTTTGGTCCGCCGAAGACCCGGTCGACGAGCGGCATCGATTTTGACAAATACGACGCCATCCCGGTGCAGGCCGGGGCTTCTAGAGATATCTGCAAATTTATGCATCATGTATATATGTATATATCTATGTAGGTATATGCAAAATCTCTTTCTATATATACATATTTCTCAGACGTAAGGAATCTGGGCATGGGGTTTCTAGAGTTTACCTTGCTGGGAATGAGAATTGGCAAGGCAAATGGAAAGCACATGGAACATGTAATAGAATCCAGGGTGTTGTAGGGATACACATGTTTTCAGGCTTCCAGACTTGCTGGTTGGTAGCAGGGAACTGAGCCCCGGACCCTCAGGCTGCACTTGACCAGGGCTTTAGATGTAGAGTTAGGGTTTGGGGTTCAGGGAGCTGTTGCCCAATCCCCAGACTTCATCACACAAAGCCAAGTCCCCAGATCTGCACCCAAGTAAGCCCTTTGGTGCATATAACTTCCACACTTTCTGTACTCAACATGAGATCTGAAACCTTATATCATCCCATGATCCGTCCCCATTCCATGCTAAGCACCAGAGAGCTGGCAGGTCTCAGGCGAGAACAGCACGGACGTGAAACCCATCATCCGGTTTTCAGAGGTGGGGTCATGTATAGACTTAACAGGCTTTTCAGGCAGATAATACTATATGGTCATGTAAGGGTTGTAAGAGGCTAAGCTTCCTATTTGATTCAGCGTCCTAATACCCGAGCAGCCTAGTTATACCAACTCAGCAGCCACTATATATCAACAGTTTGGAGCAGAGTGGCGCAAACAGTGCGATCTACTGGCTTGGAAGGGTATTCACTCGAGATCTGGGTTGACGGGTTGAGGATGCCCATCTTGTACATGTTCCCGATTACACCTGACCTGCATTCACCGCTTCCGATGTTTTGTGCTGGCGACGTCCATGTTGCGCATTTTCCCGAGTTTTAGCAGCATGGAATCAGGAAGAAGTTTGGTTCTACGTCGGGCCTCAATGGCTGAAGCTGCAATCTCCAGGGTCTAGTGAGTCTAGTGAGTCCGAGTATCGACGGGGCCTTGCTTGTTGTTGACGGTGCAGAGGTCTATGGGGCAGCGAGCTGATAAAGGGGTTCAGCATGAAAAGCATTCTCTGAGAGGATTGCTCATTTCTTGTCTGGCCGTTTGACACAACATGATGACAGTTCGTAATGTTGTCATGACGGACATTCACGGCAAGCACGATGATGGTGATGGCGATGACAATGATGATAACGACTGTGATGCTGATGGTGATGATTCTGATGATGTTGATGATGATAGAGATGGTGATGGTGATGGTGATGGTGATGATGGTGCTGCTGCTGGTAAGGAGAACGATGACGATGGCGATGGTGATGGTGGCGGCTTGCGTTGTGCTTGCCCTGTCCAGGAAGAGAGTCTTCAAATGATGCTCCTGGTGAACCCCAGAAGCCTTACCCTGGCTCTTCCAGGCGAAGCTGGTTGACTCGTTGTTCGACAACCTCCGGCGGTGCGGATACGACCGCCCGACGCCTGTTCTGGCCTGAGGTCTAGTCATTTGAAATTGAGGGTTTGGTCAGGGGCTTAGGGTTCTGGGTTGCGGGATTGAGAGGATTCATCAAAGTTGTTGGCGTCTGTTTCGAGAAGTCTTTATGTACATTACACGTGCACGTACCATGTCCGTGTACATACATATTTATATATGGTCGTAGCCTTCTACAGCGGTTGCAGAGGGAGTGATCATCAGAGTTGAGGTGCGGGGGTACAATGTTTGAAGAGCTTCTGAGCTTTGAAACATTCTGAACACTTTGAGGGGCTTATGTTGGCACAGGTGCTATACCATGATTTGTTAGAGCTGGTGTGGTCCTGTCTCACTTTAGTCCTAGAGTCATTAAACCCTGAGCATTCATGCAAAAAAGCAATCTTTGCATGTGCTTGGCAAAATGAATCTTCGACTCGTCGATCTGCAAACAAGCAGAGCCTTGACTCAAAGCGTAACTTTGCTGCGCGGAAGTGGAGAAAGGCGACATCCACCAAAGATCTGAGACCATCCAGGTCGAGTAATTGAACCCGCTAGGTCTTGCCCTAGGCTCATTTATTTGACCGTTCCAACTGACACCTGGTCTTGACCTGGCCGGCCATTTCAGGCAAGTAGCTTCCAGTACGTAGCTACCTGTGAGAAGGAGGAGCTCCAAACCCAAAACTCTAAACCCTATATCCCAAAGTGTCCCCAGGGCTTAAAATAAACCCTCTATCCCAGGTGCAGAAGTACTCCATACCCATTGTGCTTTCGGGACGTGACCTGATGGCTTGCGCGCAGACCGGCTCAGGCCCGAATTGGTTCTTAGTCTGGGTTCAGGAACTTAGTTTAACTTACCATGATAAGGGTATTTAGTAAATGATAGAGTTTCCTGTTTTATAGCTAATTTAAGTACGTTAGCAGCAAGCCAGTCTTAGTCCCCTTCGTCCCATTCTCTCCTTTCCGGTAGGATTTTTTGAAGATTTTCATTGCGGAATAGACCCAGGGAACTGTGCAGAATCTTGTTTTTGTGCCGTACCCATGCGTCGCGAAAGCTTCGTGCGACTGTTGATCCTCTATAGCGTTCATCTCAATGTGCCCGTCACTTTGCAGTATCTGCTTCTACACTTAACATACGGGTTCTTAGTAGGGAATGCAGGAATATATTCCCTGTATAACCCCGCCTACATATAATATTTTCTCATTCCCTACTAGAACCCCAATATATACCTCACAATAGTCTAGTAGTCTCCATTCTCTTCTCCATTATTCCCTATCTAATATATACTTTATTCCCGTATTCCCTACTAACCCCGCTGAAGTTAATGGCATGGGCACCAGGCACAAGCTAAGGCATGCTTCCCAAAGCCAGTTCTGGACTTTCAAAAAGATTTCTTTGCAAGTTGTCTGGTACTTAACCTGCAGAACCCTGGTGTGGATTATCATGTAGTACTATGTTTTTGGTATTAAGCTATCATGGTTACAATGACAAGCACTATCACCACTCGACCTTATCCTGCTGCTACTGCTGCTGCTAC